GCATCCTTACACTAAGCTACATCCAGCCTCCTTTAAAAAAAAATTTGATATAGGGTCTTGCTAAGTTGCTAAGTTGTCCAGTCTAGGCTGGAACTTGTGATCCTCCTGCCTCAGCCTCCCAGAGTGCTGGGAAGTCGGGTGTGCACCACCACGCCCTGCCAGATGGGCCTTTTGACATGATCCCCATTTTGTAGAGGAGAAACTTGAGGCTCCCAGAGAGTCCCAGATGGGGACTACAGCAGGCTCTTTCTGCTAGGAGCTCAGCTGAGCATCTGTCCAGGAAGGCCTGCAGCCCACACTTGGCCTGGGGTGAGGGAGAAGCTCCTCTAACTTCCTCATGCACCCACCTCCCCATGCACCTGACCATCCAAGCGGGGACCCCCTTCTAGGCTTGTTGCTTTCTGTAGTCCCAATCCCTTCCCATTTCAAATGTGTTCAGCAAAGACATTTCCTTTGCTGAGATTTTCCTGGGTGGGTGAGGACTCTTGCTATCACTCTGCTCAGCGCTTTCCCAGCTTCTGCTGTTTGTTTTGTTTTGAGACAAAGTCTCACCGCGTAGTGCGGTTCGGACTTGAACTCACTATGTAGCTCACACACTCGGTGATTCTCCTGCCTCAGCCTCTTGAGTTCTGGGATTGTAGGCGCGAGTCCCCTTGCTGTGTGCTGTGGCCCTTGAGCACAGGGTCTGTGTTTCATCCAGAGTGTGATGGGGAGCCATAGGAGAAGTCTGAGTGAGCAGGGGGGCAGATTTAATTTGCGGATGTCTGCTTCGGGGCTGCTTTCTGCAGAACCGGCTCTTGGGGGTCGTGAGGGTGCTGCCCCAGAGATGAGCAGCAGAAGGCTGTCCGGGGGGTATCCTGATGTAGGTCAGGTCGAGGGGGATGGAGCCTACTGGATGGATGGGAAAGGTGCTTAGGATAGACCACTGTCTGGAAATGGCAAAAGTTTGGGTGCGCGCGCGTAGTGGATGCACCTTCCTGAAACCGGAGCTCTGGGAGGCTGAAGCAGGAAGTTCACAAGTTGACTTAGTAGGCAACATAGTGACTTAGTGCGACACCGTCTCAAAATTGAAAAAATAGAAAGGCCCTGGGTTCAATCTTCAGCACTGGGGGAAAAAAGAAAGAAGGAAGGAAGGGAGCCCCGAAACCCCTCCATGCAGGCTCCTCTTCGCTCAGGGCTCTTACGCACTACCTCTCTTCAGAAAGGCCCCAGACAACCTCATGGGACAGAAGTGTTCTCCATCCACTCGCCCTGCAGCTCATGAAACAGAGGACCACAGGCCCGTGTCTTTACACAACTCACTTTTATTCTCTCACGGGCCTGGGGGCCGGAATTCTGAAATCCAGGCCCACTCCGAAGGCTCCGGCCTCTTTCCACTGCTGGGGCCTCCCTGCCTCCGTCACAGGATCTCTGCCTGCATCTTCACTGGGTCTTCTCTCCTGTGCGACACAACTCTCGCTGGCCTCACGTCACCTCCTCCCTCCCTCCCTCTCCTCTTTCTTTCCATCTATTTCCTTTTTCTTCTTTTCATCCTGGGGGTTGGACCCAGAGCCTTTGCACAGAGCTGTATCCCAAGCCCTTAACTTATGCATTTATTTGTTTCGTTTTGTTGAGACAAGTTCTCTCTAGGTAGTCCAGGCTGACCTTGAGCTCACACTCTTCCTCCCTCAGCCCGAGTGCTGGATTACAGTGTGCGCCACCGCGCCCAGCACTTATTTTTATTATTCTTTTAACTTTAAGATTGGGCCTCACTACGTTGCTAAATTGCCCAGGCTGGCCTCGAACTTGCAACACTCCGGCCTCGGAGGGCCGAGATTGCACGTGCGCGCGCGCGTGTGTGTGTGTGTGTGCGCGTGCGCGCGTGCACGCGTGCACCACCATGGCCCACTCCGGCTTTCCGGCTTGCTTCTTTCTTATAAGGACATTTGTGGTTATGTTTAATCCCCCCACCGGCATAACCACAGTCCTCTCCCTAACTCAGGATCCTCGCTGCACCCCAGCTTCGAGGTCCCAGCTTCTGCAGATCGGGAAATGGGAATCTTTCTGGGGACCCCTGCCCACACGCCACCCTGCTTCAGTTCCTCAGCAACGTCACCCCATACTTTAGGCCAGGTTCTGGCACAGCGACATTAAGTGATCTCCTCCCCTTCTCTCCCAAGAAGGAGCCAGGGTCCTGCCTGTCCTGTTCACTACCTTGTCCTCGATGCCTACACTGACTCACCTGGAGCTGGGATTAGAAAGTATCTGCTGAGTGCTGAGGAAATGCAGGCAAGACTTTTCTGAGGGTGTGACCAGGGAGGTGACCAGAGCCAGAGCGACACAAAGAGTCCCCGGCCCTGCTGGCTTCCCTGGCGTCCTGGAAGAGCCGTCTGTTACTGTGCAGTTGTTAAAGATGGAATCATGCAGGGCCGCTCCCGGTGACGGTGTCACCGGGAGCTGCCCAGGGGAAACAGCCAGGGGCACCTCGGCGTCCCTAGTCAGAGCCTCTGCCTTCCATCTGGGACTTGGAGGAGGGCCTCGCACTTCTGTGAGGTTGCTTAGTCACCAGCCCTCTGCAGATCCCAGGGGCTTGCAAGGGGAGTGTCACCTACTCCGGCTGGTCTTAACTTAATTCCTTTTTGGAGGGAGCTTTGCTCTGTCATTCAGGTTGCCCTGAACTCACTATGTAGCCCAGGCTGGCCTCTGGCTCCTGGTGATCCGCCTTCGTGCTGAGATTACAGGTGTGTGCCACTACACCCGGCCTGGATGTCTTTAACGTTTAAAAAATCTTTTCTGGAGGTGCTATGAACTCGGGGCCTTCTGCATGCTAGGCAAGGGTTCTACCACTGACCTACACCCCCAGCCCTTCTTATTTTTAATTTTTTATTTTAATGAATTAATTTTGCAGTACTGGGACGCCAGTGAGGAGCGCTCTAGTACTGCCTCACTCTGCTACTGAGCTACACGCCCAGCCCTTTTCATTTTCTTTACTCTCGGGATGGGATCTCACTACATTACCCAGACTGGCCTTGATCTGCAATCCTCCCGCTTCAGTCTCTCGAGTAGCTTGGCTAAAGAGTTTTGTCCATTGTGGTGAAATTTACCACGGAGCCTGTGTCCAGTGTGCGGTTTGGCAGTGTTGGGTACATTCACATCGCTGTGCAGCCGTTACCAAGATCCATCCCAGACCCACCGAACACTTACTCCCCATGCCTCCTCTCCCATCCCTGAGCCCCCCTGTCTCTCTGTGTGGATTTGATGGCTCTAGGAACCTCATACAAATGGGACCATCCCAGCTGGCCACGGCTGTACATGCTGGCCTTGAACTCACTGAGTAGCTCAGGCTGATCTTGAACTCACCCTTATCCTCCTGCCTCAGCCTTCCAAGTGCTGGGACTACAGGTGTGCACCACCATGCTCGGCTCCCACAGGGTCTTAATAAGTTGTGAAATTGCCACGACTGGGCTCTCACCTGTGATCCTCCTGCTTCAGCCCTCCAGAGTGCTGGGATTACACAAGTCTGTCTCTACATCCGGTCCCCTTTTAAGGCTGAATAATGTTCTATTAAGTGGATACATCGCATTTTGCTAATCCAGTCATCTGTGGATAGATACTTGGGTTACTTTCACCTTTTGGCTGTTGTAAATTGTACTGCTATGAACTTGTATAAATATCTCTCTGAGATCTCCTTCTTACTGGGGGGTGGTACATATGCAAAGATAGAGTTGCTAGATCATATGATACTTCTATGTTTAATTTTTGGAAGTTGCCCAGGCTGAGCCCAGACGTGATTCTCCTGCCTCAGCCTCCGAAGTGCTGAAATTATAGGCCTCTACCACTATGCCTGGAATTTATGTTTAATTTTTAAGGGGACAATAGCCAAATGTTTTCCATAGCAACTGTACTACTTTACATCCCTATGGATCCTATATAGAGGTTCCAATTTCTTCACTCTCTCACCAAAACTTTTTTCTTTTTTCTTCTCTTTTTTGCAGTTCTGGGGAAGGAACCCCGGGCCTTGTACATGACAGGCGAGTACTCTGTCACTGACTATACACCTCAGCTCTTTCAATTTATTTGAAAAGCCGTTTTTTTGTTTGTTCGTTTTTTGGTACCGGGGATCAAACTCAGGACCTTGTGCTTGCAAGGCAGGAGGCAGAAACACTGAGCTAAATCCCCAGCCCTAGTTTTAAAATTTTGAGACAGGGTCTTGCTATGTTGCCCAGGGTGGGCTTGTACTTGTGATCCTCTTGCCTCAGCCTCCCGAGTGCTGGGATTATAGGCATGCGCCAGCACGCCCGGCCCTCTTTTTGTTTTATTTTAAGTAGTAGCCATCTTAGTGAGTGTTTATGGGGTCCATATTATAGTCAGACCATCTATCCCGACTGGGATCTCTGAATTTGGTGATGAACCAGCCAGTTTATCTCCCAGGATGTGGGTAATGAAGGGAAATTTTGCTTCTGTCTTGATAATGTGGTTTGGCGTTGACTAGGGGAAGATGCAACGAATCCAACAGCATCGTGGGATGGGTGGTACTGAGGACTCAGGAGAGGACTAGAAGGTAGGGGTTCCTGTGGCTGTGTTGCCAAGGAGATAGGAGCATGGGGGAACCCTTGACTAAGTAGGGTTAGGTAGCTGAGAGAGAAGAGGGAAGGACCCAGCCACTTTTAAGAATCTCCACGGAGGCTGGCACATACCTGTCATCTCAGCACTTGGGAGGCTGAGGCAGGAGGATCATTATGAGCTCAAGGCCGGCCTGGGCTACATAGTGAGTTCAAGGCCAGCTTGAGCTACATAATGAGATCTTGTCTCCAAAAAAAAAAAAAAAAAATCTCCTTGGGGTTATCTGGGAATCATGGGCCTGCAAAGTGAGGGTGACAGGACTGAGGCGGGGCCCATCAGGGAGCTGCTGTTGATATTCCTGGGGATGAGGGTTTCATGTTTCAGAGTGTAGTGAGCAGCACTCTGAACACTTTGTTTGGCTCACTGCTTTCTTTACGGTACTGTTTTGGTTCCTTCAGAAGCTGACCCTCAAAGAAAGATTTGGATGCCGGGAACTTGTTTGAAAAGCAATTGCAGAAACTACCACTAAGGACCAAGGAACCTAAAAGAACTGAGAACAGGTACTCAAATGTACACACACAAGTGCACACACGTTCAGGGTAGCATATTTCACAACAGCCCCAAGGCAGAGTCAGCCCAAGTCAACAGAGGAATGGATCAGCCTATCCATGCAGTGGAATATTACTCAGCAACAGACGCAATAAAACACTGATCCTTACCAAAGCCTGGGTGCAGCTTGTAAGCATTAAGCTGAGTCAAAGAAGCTGGATACAAAAGGCCACATAGAAGCCGGGTGTGGTGGTGCATTCCTGTCATCCCAGCACTCAGGAGGCTGAGGCAGCAGGATCACTGTGAGTTTGAGGCCAGCCTGAGCTACATAGTGAGTTCAAGGCCAGCCTGAACTACAAGGGAGACCTTGTCTCAAAAGACCAATAATTAAAAACAATGCAAAAGAAATAAAAAAAACAAACTATGACAAAAGCAAGAATGAGCTGAATGCAGTGGCACACACCTGTAATCCCAGCAACTCAGGAGGATAAGGCAGGAGAATCACAAGTTCAAGGCCAACCTGGGCAACTCAGCAAGATACTGTCTCACAGTAAAATATTAAAAAGCGCTGGGGGTGTGGCTCAGTGGTTAAGGGTCCAGTCCCTTAAAAAATAAAGGGTGTCTCGCAAACGTCACAGCGGAGGGGATGGAGTGGGTATCGCACACCCAGGCTGGCCGAGGCCACGGCTGGGGCTCAATCGGCCACGCTGGCGTGTCTGGCACCGGCACCTGCTGCGTGTCGGGCCCACCGTGCTGGACCCCACGGGTCCTCCGGCGTCTGGCGCAGGAGTGGCTGTGTAGCAGCCCCACCCCCCCCCTCACCGCTGCCTACCGTGTGCCCCAGGATGCTGCCCGTCACAGACCACCTGCTGCACTTCCTGGGCCTGGAAAGGACAGCGTTCCGCACCTGCGCGGTGTCCGCCCTCCTCTTCTCCCTGCTCTTCGCCTTCTTCAGCCTGCTGCTGCGGCTGCTGCGAACCTGCTGGGCCTTCTACAGCACCTGCCGCCGCCTGCGCTGTTTCCCTCAGCCACCGGGGAAGAACTGGCTGATAGGTCACCTGGGCACGGTGCGTGTGGTGGGCCAGCGCCGGGCAGGGGCCGGGCCTGCTGGGGTCCAAGGGGTCCAAGGGTCTGCCTGGCGGCACTCGTGGGTCCTTTGTGGTTGTTATTTTAGAGACAGGGTCTCAATTCCTAGTTCAGGCTGGCCTGAACTCAGTATGTAGACCAAGCTGGTTTGAAGGGACGGCAAACTTCCTGCCTCAGTCTCCCGAGTGCTGGAATTACAGGTGTGTGCCGTTCCTGGGCTGTATTTCATTTTTAAAACAGTTTTTATTAGTCTATGCTTGTAATACATATAATTATATTCATTTTAAGACTATATATAATCTTGACCTTTATTTATTTATTTATTTTTTGGGTTTTTTGAGACAAGGTCTCACTGTGTAGTTGAGACTGACCTAGACCTCACTATAGCCCAGGCTGGTCTCGAACTCACAGCGATCCTCCTGCCTCAGCCTCCCGAGTTGCTGGGATTACAGGCGTGCGCCACCACACCTGGCTGCCTGTTAATTTTTCATAATCTCATGGGACTGTTTTGGGGATTCCTCAGAATCACACTTGTCACGGCTTTGGCCCTCACCAAATCTGGTATACAGGTGAAGGATGTGTGTGCTCCACGGCTGGCTTCCACAGAAACTTGAAGGATCCGATGATTCTAGAAATATTTTAAGTGTTTCTTGGGTTGGGTTGAGTATCTTGAAGGAATAAGACAGATTCCCACATACTGGCTCAAAGAACTTTTGTTTTTGATTTTGTGGTGCCAAAGATGGAAGGCAGGGCCTCTTTCGTGCTAAACAAGTGCTCTACCACTGAGCTACACCCCCAGCCCTGTGCCATTTCACTAAAGGGGCTTAAATATCCTCAGATTTCGGTGATCCTCGGGGGTGGATTATGGAATCAATCCTCTGGATACTGACGGGGGCCTGTACCAAAGACTGGGTGGCTGAAGCAACAGAAATGTGTTGCTCCCAATTCTGGAGGCCAGAAGTCTAAGATCAACCTACAGGGTTGAGTTTTTCTAAGGGTCCCTGCTATGACCCTCCCTGGCTCTCCCCTACCATCTGGAGAGGGGCTGGTGTCCAAGGTCCTTTATTTTCTGACCCTCGCTGGCCACCATTTTCCAGTCCCAAGGATCAGCTTCCGGCTTCAGCAGCAAGGGTCCCACTTGCCACCCCCAAGGCCTTTGCCAAGCTGTGCCTCTGTCCAGAATATTCTCCCCTGGTAGATGAACTTCTACTCAATTTTCATGCTCTGTCTCCAGTGTCCTTACTCTAGAAAGCTCTCTGTGGCTTTGGTGAGGGTTTCAGAGGTGGCTACCAAGCTCTCTTGTCCTGGGCAGTTGGCCAGGGCTGGTTCTGCCTGCAGCCCAGTGTTGGTATCATGGGTCCAGCCCATCTTCTAATTCCAGGAGGTCTGGGTGAGGCCACAGTTTTCCTTGGGTGTGGACGAGAAGGAGATGCCCCAGCCAGAGAAGAGTTCTGTTCATTCATTCATAAGATAATTGTTGGGCCTTATTCCTGGCCAGGCATTGGGTTAGGCTCCTTTGTATCTGAGCCCTCCCCTTGTGAAATATTTATAGAAGTTGGGTGTGGTTGCGCGTGCCTAAATAATTCTAAAACTCTGGGAGATTGAGGCAAGAGGATTGCAAGTTCAAGCCCGACCTGAGCAACTGATCCATGTCCAGAAAAAAAGGTAGTGGTGGCGGTGGGGATATAATTCAGTGGGAAGGTCCTAGATTCAATCTCCAGGACCCACCCCCAAAAGATGGATCTACTCTATTTTATGGATTCTCATTTATGGATTTGAGCTCAGAGAGATTCAGTAACGCCTACAGTTTCATGGCTGCTAAGGGTGAATTTGAACTCACATCCACTGGCTCAGCCCTTCTGTTTCGTCTAAGAGCACGATGGGTGAGAACAGGAGTTTTGGAACTGGGTGGCGGGTGTCTGGATGCTGGCTTTGCCACGATGGCAGCTGATGCCAGGGCCTGCCCACATCTTCTAGGCCCACTTCTGGGTGCTGTGGTGCCGCCTCTGGCTGTGATGACCCCTCTTCCATCTGTGCCCACCCCCACTTCCAGCCCCCAGCACTTGCATTCTAGGAGCTTCCCGGAGTTTAGGACTTCTAGCCCCCAGGGACAGCCCTCAGCCTACGACTGGCAGGTGTTGGTGGATAAATACCCCAACTCTGTCACCCTCAGGGGATTGACTCAGAGGTCCAGAGCCTGGTCCATCCTCCAAAACTCCCTCGTGGGACTCAGCCCGGGGGCTCCACGGTGGCACCACCCACCACCTACCCTTTCCCGTCTGCCTTCCCTTCCATCCCTATTCATGCTTTGGGGGTTATCGCCCCAACAAACCGCCCATCTTAGCAGCCGTGTCTCAGGACACGCTTCTGAGGGACCCCAGACAAGGACAGTTGCTCACTTACAGACCTCGGGGGGCGCAACAGCAGCAAAGACCTCATCGGGTCCGTGTGGAAGGGGACAGTCTGTGACCCGTTGTGCCGGTGCAGCCCAAGCACATGCAGACAGGGTGCTCTCTGTGGAGTTGTGCTGGGGATGGAACCCAGGGCCTCCTGCATGCTAGGCAAGTGCTGTCCCACTGCGGTGCAGCCCCAGCCCTGCTGAAAATTTTGTCTTGAGATAGAGTCTCGCTAAGTTGCTCAGGCTGGCCTTGACTTCATGATCTACCCGACCGGCAACTATCTGGGATTTAGGTTTGTGCCGCTAAGCTCCACTGGTGTTTATTCCTTTTGTTTTTCTGAGACAGGGTCTCCCTGTGCAGTTCAGGCTGGCCTTGAACTCACTATGGAGCCAGTCGGGCCTCAAACTCAAAGCCGTCTTCCTGCCTCAGCTTCCTGAGTGCTGGGATTGCAGGAATGCATCATCATGGCTGATATCCATGTTGTAAACAGCGAGTATTTGATAAATACCAACTCTTAGCATTACTGAGTTTCCTCTTGCATGTGTGTGTGTGTTGCTCAGGCTGGAACCCAAGGGCCAGGCAAGAACTCTGCCACTGAGCCACATCCCCAGGACCCCTCTCCCCCTTGTTTTCTTTAGTTTTTTTGATTTTTTGAGACAGGGTCTCACTATGTAGTTGACACTGACCTGGAACTCACTAGGTAGCCCAGGCTGGTCTCGAACTCATAGTGATCCTCCTGCCTCAGCCTCCGAACTGCTGGGATTACAGGTGTGCGCCACCATGCCCAGGCCCCCCTTGTTTTCTTTAAGTGACAGGATCTTGCTGTATTGCCTAGGCCAGTTCAAGAGATCCTCCTGCTTCAGCCTCTCAAGTGGCTGGACCTGTAGGCATGTGCCATCAGGCCTGGCTTATCTTTATTTATTGAACCAACCAGGCTGTGCTCTTGCTTTCTGCATCAGTCCTCTGGGCTGCCCTCAGAGGAAGCGTCGGCTGTACCCCACTTCTCAGAGGAGGAAGTGAGAGCTCAGTGAGTTGTAGCTGCCTGTGTACAATCATTCATTGCTTCTGGGATTGTCTTGAGGCGAGGGGAGGCGGCAGGAGGGAGCATGAGGGGAAGCTGGGTCGGGCACACGCTCACCACCCCGCCTTCCCTCCACAGTATTTCCCGAATGAGAAGGGCCTTCGAGATGAGAAGAAGGTGCTGGACAGAATGAATGACGTGGTCCTGGTGTGGGCCGGGCCTGTCCTGCCGCTGTTGGTTCTGGTGCACCCCGATTACATCAAGCCTGTGCTGAGTGCCTCAGGTAGGTGAGCTGAGCCTCCGAGCAGTGACCGAATCCTCAAGTCCCGCACTCTATCAGAGCTTCTAGACAGGTGCGCTCTCCAGAAGAAGGGTCATTTGAGTCAGGTGTTGAGGAATGAATAGGAGTTCGCCAAAGCAGGAACAGCAGTGCATGATACGGGAACAATGTGGACAGAAGTGAGACAACACCTAGGAGACCCGTGAACACCGAGGGGCTGTCCACCTACACGGAAGTCAGAGCCAAACACATTTGGGTAGGCAGTTGTTTACCCAAGGTTTCATTAGGTAGGCGCTGCTCAGTTGAGGTCACAGGACTCCTGTGCTTTGGGTTATGCTATTTCTGCCCTACCTGGGGCTCTTGGTGGCCCATCCTGCTGGCTGATCTTATGCTTCCTGCCTGGCCTGGAAGGAGTTGTGGAAGGATTGTTCTTTTATGCAGCCCATGCCTGTCTCAAGGTGTGGGACTCCCCTGGGTGCTTGGCAAACTCTTGCTCATCCTGCAAAGCCCAGCACCAATAATCCCTTCTTCAAGGAGCCTTGCTGACTCTGCTGAGAGAACATGGCTCTGTCCTCTGGACTGTCCCAGCCTCAGCGCTAACCCTTCGGACCCGGGTGCATCTGTGTCCGTCGCTGTCTCCCTTGCACGTGGGGCCCCGCACCCTCATCACAGCCTTGATGGAGCCGAGCACCTCAGAGGCTCAGTTAAAACCGGAGAGCAGAGGGGTGGGAAAGAAAGGGTGCCAGGAATTTTAGGGGCCTGGCCGCAGCTTGGGCTTCTGCAGCCTCACATCTGCAGGCCATCTCTGGCTGCCACCCAGGGCTGCTGTCCCTTCCGCACCAGCTGTGCCTCGCCTCTTCACCCGCCCTACGTTTTGCTTGAGTAGGGTCTCGCTGTGTAGTCCAGGCGGGCCTCCAACTTGTGGCGATCCTCCAGCCTCAGCCTCCGGGGTGCTGAGATCGTAGGCGTGCAGCACCAGGCTCAGCCGTATAGCCTCTTAGTGTCCGATCTGCTGAACGTGAGCTGCTGTGTAGGATAAATAATACAGTGTAAGGCTGGGATGTGGCGTAGTGCCGGAGGGCTTGCCTACCATGTGTGAGACCCCGGGGCGATCCCCAGTGCTGCCGCACCAAACTGAAATAATGTAAGGGGGTAGGTGCTAAAATAAGCCTCCTCCTTTTTTTTTTTCTTTTTCTTTTTGCAGTACTGTGGATTAAACCTGGGGTTGTTGCACTGAGCTACATCCTCAGCCCTTTCTACTTTTTATTTTAAGACAGGGTCTGTTAAAGTTACTAAGCTGTCCAGACTGGGCTCAAACCTGTGATCCTCCTGCCTCAGCCTCCCAGAGTGTTGGGGCGATGGGTGTGTGCCACCGCGCCTGTCTCCTTTCCCCCCTTCTTTTTCTCTTCCTCTTCTTCCTTTTCTTCTGCTCTTCGTCCTCTTCCTCTGCCTCAGAGCTTGTTCCCTGAGCTCCATCCTGCCTGGCTGTAAGTCTTCAAGCAGCACCCCAGCCCAGGCCTGGCCGAGGCCTCCCCAACGGGAGGAGCCGGATGGGGAATTCTGGAAGGGAGCAGGTGGGGCTCTGAGTCAGTGCCTGCCAAGCCTGTGGTCTCCACCCATCACGGGGCCTCTGGGGCCACACCTGGCCCCTGGTCCCAAAGAAGGCACAGCGCCCCTGGGGACCCCCGCCTCTTCTCTTATTGGTGTTTGAGAGAAAATAGGTGGAAGCTTCATGGAGGCTGAGTCATGATCTATAAGCACATAATTATGGCTTGTGTTTTGTATGTTCTTTTTACTAATGTGACATTGACATAACACACAGTTGATCATTTTAACTGAACATGAACATTCACTGGTGTTTGGGTATTCCTAGTGCTGTGCAACCACCAAGCTTTCTCTAGTTTCAAACTTTTTTTTTTTTTTTTTTGGTGCCGGGGATCAAACTTGGGTCCTTGTGCTTGCAAGGCAGGTGGCAGAACCACGGAGCCAAATCCCCAGCCTCTAGTTTCAAACTTTTAAAAAATTATCTCCTGGGAGCTGGGCATGGTGGCACATGCCTATAATCCCAGCAACTCGGGAGGCTGAGGCAGGAGGATCACTGTGAGTTGAGACCAGCCTGGACTACATAGTGAGTTCTAGGTCAGTCTCTACTACATAGTGAGACCCTGTCTCAAAAAACTGAAAAAAATTACCTCCTAAAATGCCCTGATCCATGAGGTAATTCTGTCCCATCCTCCCGGCCCCTCTCCTGGTCACCCCAAACTGCTTTCTGCCTCTAAGGCCTGTGAGCTCTGAGCAGCTTTTATCAATGGCCTCCTACCCCACGCTGCCTTTTGTATCTGGCTTCTTGGCATTGTGTTCTCCAGGCTTGCTTGTGCTGGGGTTCAGTGATCTTCCTTTCATGGCCAAGGGCTACTGCATTGTACAGAGGGGCCAGGGTTTGAGTTATCCATTTATCAACTGCATTGTGCCTATCTTTCGGCTGTTGTGAATATACTACTATGAACATTCAGGCATAAGTTTTGGTGTGGCCCTATTTTTCTTTTTCATTTTCATACTTTTCTTAGTTCTCTCTCTTGATTTTTTGAGAGAGGGTCTTTCTGTGTCTTTCAGGCTTTAGTCATGTGCTTACTATGTAGCCCAGGCTGGCCTCCACTTCGCCGTGACCCTCCTGCCTCAGCCTCCCAAGTGCTAGGATTACAGGAGTGCACACTCCACCTGGCTCTTGTCTTTTCTTTGCTTTCTCTCCTGTTTTCCTTCTTTCCTTCTTTCCTGAAACCCAGGACCTCCTGCATGCTAGGCAAGTGCTGTACCGCTGAGCTGTACCCCCAGACCCTATATTTTCATTTTTGTGTGTGTGATACTTAGGAGTGGAGTTGAAGGTTATATGGTAATTGCATATAGGCTTTTTTTTGTTTGTTTTTTTTTTGGTGCTGAGCATGGGAAGCAGGACCTAGTGCAAGTACATGGTCTACCACTGAGTTACATTTGCAGACTTACGTTTGTTTTTTTTTTTGTTGTTGTTGTTTTTGTTGGGGGGAGGTAGGGCCTTGCTAAGTCACTACATTCATTGCCCAGGCTGGGCTCAAACTTGCTATCCTTCTGCCTCAGCCTCCCAGAGTGCAAGGATAGTGTGTGTGTGCCACCACCATGCCCAGCTTCTTTTTGATTCTTTTTTTTTTTTTTTTTTTACACTATGTAGTTGAGACTGACCTGGAACTCACTATGTAGCCCAGGCTGGTCTCGAACTCACAGCGATCCTCCTGCCTCAGCCTCCTGAGTGCTGGGATGACAGGTGTGCACCGCCATGCCCGGCTCCCACCTTTTTCTCTAGTGTTGCCTCCTGAAAGTCTGCTCTGATGTCTAGGTGTTCTCTCTGTGCTTCCTGAGCATCTTTCCACCTTCTTGATGATTGATTGCCTCTGCTTCCTTTACCCACCCCACCCCACCCTGCTTCACCCAGGAGCTCCCCCAGGCAGGGTGTGGAATGGAGCCATCTCTGGGTCCCTGGCCTCCTCCAGCACGGGCTGGGCCCAGGAAGAAGGGCTGTCTTGGATGGGAGGATACTGGGACAGGTGACTGGACAGATGACTGGGCAGGCATCGGCCAATTCCTGGGGAGTACGAGTGTGGAGGCTGCTGAATCGCACTCAGGTGTAAGTGACACCGTTTGGGTTTCAGATATCTGAAAGTTTCCCAAAATTCAATTTATATATATATACATATATATGTACATATATATATTTATATTTATATAAAAAGACTAATAATAGCAGTATGTTATGCATCAATAGCAGCAACAGCTTTTCCAGGTTCTGCAGTCATCTGAACAAAAT